ACACACACACACAACANACACCACTACTCTCTCTCTCTCTCTCTCTCTCTCTCACACACACACACACACACACAAACACCAATCCCTCTCACTTTTGTACCTTTCATGGACCACTCGACAGTGCCTTCTTCCCTTCTCTTAGCTCTTAGAGAGAGAGATTGTGATCTCACAATGACATATGACACTTAAAACAACATGCTTTTGATCCCAAATAGGATGAAGCACACTACAAATGACTAAAATGTAATGTCTTCATCGCAAACCACAGTAGCCGAACGACTAATGATTCATGTGATCAAAGTAATTAGGTAATCCATCATAATGGCGCTCGCAGTCCAAGTAGAGAATGAATTCTACTTGCTCTCCTGAAAGCGAAAGAAGTTGAAGACTCTTCTGTCCAAAGAAAAACCAAATGTGAGAATGATCGGTTGCATACACTATTTTCTCTTCAAAATAAAATTCACTTTGGTTAAAATAGAGAAAATTTTATTCTTTTTTTTGGTGCATGAAAAAAAAAGATAATCCATCTTAAACTCCGCTCGAATTGAATTATCGAGTCTCGATCGCCTTTCTCATGCTTACAAACAACTATTAACGTGACACAGAATCAAATTCTAGCAATGATAAGTTCATGTTCTACTCGACAAAAAAATTATCTGAATTCTAATATTTAATATTAAGTCAACTTTGGTATCACTTATCGGTACCCATAATCGACTTATGTAAGTCTTCAACTTTCAATATTACAATACATGTCGAAGAGACGATAGATTAAGAAGGATGGTGTCACTTATAATAATGTAGTTGTTGGATCTATCAGCTTCCGATAGATAGATGAATCATTACAATTCGTAGGAGATGGTTCTGGAGGAGGATTGTGGTACTTTTAAAGAACGGGAGAGAGAGAGAGAGAGAGAGATACGAGGAGAGTGGTCCTAAGATCATCTTCACCAACACATTGGGTTGATCCATCAATTCCTCGGTCCCTCGCCGACTGATCACAAAAGCATCGGCCTTCATCTTCATGTTACGTTGTCTGCTCTCGTACTAGCAACTATTCATTTGGACTCCATCCAACGATCTTATTCGTATACGTCGTATGATCTTCCAATTCATCCTCTTCAATTCTCTACACGTGTCTTTGTCGGAGAAATGATTAAGAACAATACAATATTATCCTTCCATCATCCATTGAGAACATAATTAAGCGTTAAATTGTATGGATTAATTAACACCGAGTGATTAATCAATATTATTT